ACTGCATGTAGAGGTAAACATCTGTTTTAGACTATCTGCCCAGAAACTGAGTAAACTACCAATTGAGACCCTGATTTTATTTGGTCATTACGTGCACATTTTCATATGCAATTACCCAGCCTGATGAGAAACTGGTAGTAGGAATCCTAACTACTCTGCCATGTCAGATGCTGGAAAGCAATCTTAACTACATATTTACAGATGTAGGTTTAAAAAAAAAACACTACTTTTCTAAGATGTTTCATGATTACTAATCATTCAACTGCTGTATGAATCATTTTGCCTGATTTATCGGGAAAATACATCTTAAAAGCTGATTCCTTTGACAAATGTGTTTTTGTTAGGTAAGGGATGACTAATCTATCCAGCTAATACCAGTCTAGAAATTTAAAATTAACTCTTCAAATGTCTTTATTTAGATCTGATCCTCTCAAATTGTTTTAATGATAAATGGTAAAACTGGGTTCCCAAAATGTAAAAATCCTAATACAAGTCTCTATTTCCAAAACTAAATTAAAATAAAAAAAGATAGCCAACACTGTGGGATGAAAGCTATCCTGAGTGCGTCCCCCCCTCCCCCCCTCCCCCCCACACAAAACAACGAGAAACCAGAAATAAAACCTGGGATTCTATTAAATAGACTTTCAAAATAAAGTTTTATGGAAGTGTTTTCTAAAAGGAGTTCCAAGAGAACAGAGTACTTGAATAAGACAAACTAGTACGTAAAGGGGGAAAAACTCCCAAAGCTATCTGCTAAGTTGGCAACCATAATTCAAAGAAATTGAGCTAAAGAGAATTTGATCTTTACATAATATGAAACTTAGTAAGATGAAATGCCTATGACAAAATTTAAGTCTCCCCACCTTTTGGCAGTGAAATTAACATGAGGATATTTGGACAGGTTTAAGGTCACATTCAGAATTAAACTGAAAACTTTCAAATCCAGAAAGCACATGGGAGCTTTCATTAGCTGCTGGAGTCTACCATGCCTAAATAGAAACAGCGTGGATAATGACTATCCCAACAGGTGCTGTTTCAAAATACAAGCAATTTATCATGAAAAGCTTACACCTATTAAGCTTTCTTCTGTCCTGCTCCTCGTGTATATGCTTCAGTTTAGCAAAGACTACACTTTGCAACTCCTCCTAAGAGGAGAGAAGCAAGAAATGGAGTAATAAAAGCAAGCCTGAGAATTCAAGGGGCCCTAAGAGCCTTTTCTCTGGCTGGTCATGGCCACTTATGTTTTAATAAGGGTTTAAAGATTTGGGGGAAAAGACTATCTTGGCTATTAGTTTCCTCAGCAAAAGCCATCCATAGACAGACAGCTATTAACCAAGCAATTAGCCCAAAGTTCTCAGGTAATAATTAGAACAAAACGAAACAGCCCAGCCGTTGTGGTTTAGTGGTGAAGCATCGATACCCGGTCAGAGCCCAAGCCCAGGTTGCGGGCTCCATCCTCAGTAGTGGATATTCGGGAGGCAGCCAACCAATGACTCGTACTCATCACTGATGTTTCTCTCTCCCTTTCTCTCTCTGAAATCAATAAAAAAATATAAAAAACACACACCCAAAAACCCTTAAATTTTTCTATTGAAACCTTTTATTCTGCATTTGTTGGTGCTTAAGGAAAATAGCTTTACCATAATTCATTGTGCCCTGAACTTATGACACCAACTTATATTGGCCAATTAGGAA